ATACAACCTGAAGCAGGCATAACTTTAAGTTATGAATTATTCATGAAATAAATAAAATATAAAATATTGCAAATATTATTGAAAACAATAAATCAACAAGAGGCCCATGGGCCACATCAATCACCTGAGAAGCTTTGACCATTCTGTTCTTTACCAAATTTCCCCCTTGTAATACATATTGTGACCCCACCCTACCCCACTGATAATAATTTAGACAATTTGAAATCTACCCTACCCCAGGATGCTTCCAGCTTTTCTGGCCCAGTGGTTCTTGAGACGAAGATTTTTAAAGATTTTTCCTTTATATTTCTATGTAAAACTTGAATCCCCATTGTGGCCCCGCCCTACCCCGGGGAGTCATGATTTGAACAATTTAAAATCTACACTATCTCAGGATGCTTCCACATAAGTTTCAGCTTTTCTGGCCCAGCTTGAGAAGATTTTTCCAATATATTTCTATGTAAAACTTTGATTCCCCATTGTGGCCCCGCCCTACCCCCGGGGGTCATGATTTGAACAATTTAGAATCTACACCACCTCTGGATGTTTCCACATAAGTTTTTAGCTTTCTGAACCAGAGGTTCTTGAGAAGAAGATTTTTTAATGACCTCACCATATTTTTGTCTTTTCTTGATTATCTCCCCTTGTGAGGGGAATTGGCCCTTCATTTTAACAATTCAAATATCCCTTTACCCAAGGATGCTTTGTACCAAGTTTGGTCAAAATTGAACCAGTGGTTTTTGAGAAGAAGTCGAAAATGTGAAAAGTTTACGGACGGACAGACAGACAGGACAGGACGGACGGACGACGACGGACAAAATGTGATCAGAAAAGCTCATTTAAGCCTTCGGCTCAGGTGAGGTAAAAATGACAAATTGGAATTCACCATAAACTTTTCTTTTTTTGATGCAGAAGTGGAAAGTATCGCCGTAAACTCAACATCAGGAAATCAAGTGGAGATGGACCGGGGGCCAAATGTTTTCATTTCGTTTTTGCTTCTCATGACTTTTTCTGTTTTCTATCTCATCAGTTACTACAAAACCAAATCAAAGCCTCGTCCAGTACAAGTGGATGAAACACCATTGACAGAAGAGGACATAAGAAAATATTATAATTTCACACAATTTAATAAAACCCATCCAAGACTTCATTGCATCCTTTCCCCTCTTAGTGTTTGTGATGGGTTTAGGACGGAAAACAATTTCTCTCGTACATTAATTATTGTGAAGTCATCAGCGGAAAGTTTTCACATACGAAAATGGTTCCGATGGAATATAAAACAACAGAAAGACATAGATAACAATTTTAAGATAGTTTTCCTTCTAGGACAATCTCCATCTTCCTCTATGAGCGAGCTTATAAAAGAGGAAAGTAAACTACACAACGATATGATTCAGGGAAATTTTACAGATAACGGGAATATTACCACGTACAAAACTATCATGGGGTTTAATTGGGCTCTCAAGTATTGCCAAAATTCTCAGTTTCTCCTTCTCCAAGAAGAAAATTTTAAAATAAATTATAAAAACGTGATGACATTTCTGGAGAAAGAGGATGACCCGGAGTCTCTATACGTTGGAAAATTAATCCGAAAGGAACAAACATCTAGCAGTAACCCTGACCACGTCCGATACATTCCGAAGGAGGAGTACCCTCTTCCGTTTCTTCCGCCTGATATTGCAGGTGGTGCCTATCTTGTCAGCATGAACGTTGCCAAAACGCTTGTGTCAAATTTTGATTCTGTGAAAATGGTTCGCGTGGATGACGTGTTCATGGGGCTTGTTGCAATGTTAAGTGACGTCATTTTAGTTCACTCCAAAAAAGTAACCCTTGAAAATTGTGCCAAATTCACAAAGATGTTAGCATGCAGGACATTCACTTCCGCGGAGGAAATTCTCGGTGCATGGGAGGAGTCATTTGAAATCAATTTCTGAGAGAGAGGGAGAGAGAGGGAATGTTCGGCATTATTGAGTTATTTGTATATTGACTATGTCATTTCCTCAGATAAACTATTATAGGCATTATAAAACATAGGAATACTTAATGCATTTTCTTATTTTAAAAATCGAATCAGTTTTTAAGGAAAACAAGATGTGTTTCTGAAAAACTATGCGCCCGGCGGCAAAAAAGTTCTGAAAAAGCTATTTTTAGCATATTGGTCACAGTTAAGGTCACAAGATCATTGACCTTGGTGTCATTTGAAAGAACTTGATTAGTGAAGTATGCATATACCAAATATGAAGTCTCTATTTCTCATGGTTCAAAAGTTATGGCGAGTAAAAGTATTTGCATAGAGGCACGTAAGGTCACAGGTCATCGACCTTGGTGTCATTTGAAAGAGTTTGATTAGTGGAGTATGTATATCAATATGACCCTTACTTAATGGACTTGCAGATTTGGAAAGATGCGAATGTTTTGTATGGCAAAGCCTTTTGCTATTATTCGGTAAATAAAATTTATCTTAGGGTCAATTAAAATAGAGATGAGTTTGATCTCATGTTTAGAGTATTTGTATATCAATATGACCTTATTAATTTAATTTAGAGCTATCTCTCAAGCTTTTTTGAAAGAGCATATGTTTTGTAAATCAATTTTCTATATTATGTATATCAAAATTTCTGTATGTTAGAATTAAAATATGAGATATTTCTCATTTTAGAGAATCTCTTAAAAAATAGAGCTATATCTCAACTTAAAGAGATATCTCCATTTTAAGAGATATCTCTATGTGAAAGAGATATCTCTTAAACTTAGAGATATCTCTTATACTGAGAAGATTTTTATTAGAGAGATATCTCTTCCACTTCAAAAGATATCTCTTTCTCCTTGAGAGATATCTCTTTCGTGAAAATAGAGATCTGTCAAGGTTAAAGAGATATTTCTTTCACCTAGAGAGATATCTATTTTACTTTTGGAGATATCTTCCAAGTTAAAGAGATATCTCTGAAAGTAAAAGAGATATCTCTCTTAGTTTATCTTAAGAGATATCTTAAAGTGAAAGATATATCTTTCAAAAGTGTCTAAAAGAGATATCTCTCAAGCAAAAAGAGATATCTCTTTGTTGCAAAGAGATATATCTCTTCATATTTTTTTATTTAAATTCCATTTAAAATGACTTCTCCCTTTACCGGAAGAAAGCTTTTCATTGACGGAAGTACATTAACGTATTTCTAAATTCGATATATTCATGATATTCTACATTATACCTTTACTAAACATCACAATTAATTCATTTTTGTCTAGATTTCAGATTAGAAATAGTTATTTATTTCATAAGCTGAGAAAATTCGGTCCATTGCATTTAAGATTATAGTATGTTTACTTTCGTTTTCCTGAGTATTAAACTTTTAGCATTTTTATCAACGAAGCTGCCATTATTGCAGCCCGGAGGACCGGGCTGCTCTATACATGTAAGTTTAAGTGTTGGTATTTGGGGATTGAGGTGGGAGAAGTTATTCAGAATTAAAGGTTAAACATTCTTAAATTAATATTATACATTTTTGAAAATAGGTGATGCATGTGTCTGGTTTCAATTTATATTTTATGCAGCCAACATTTACTTGAGGAATTGATAAAGTTTAAAAGGGTATCGTTTTTGTTCGATTTTCATCCGACTATAAGTTTTCAAAATATTCTGGACTATTCTCCATCATTTACACGCATGTCTTTTTCATACATATCGAAGCGGTTTGATGATCAAGACTCATTTCCACTGTTTACTTTATTTATTTCCCGGGCGACAATTGATGGTTACATCAACGTTTTCTTGTTATTTGTTGTTTCAAGTAAGGGATTTATAGCGTTTTTGCCTACACAGTACATATATTATTCTGGGTAATTGTTTGCTCAGTCTTTTTTCTTATAACATCGACACTATTCCAGAGACTTTACTTCCTGTTTCGCTTTCGTTTTAAAGTGGAGAATTAATTATTCTATTTTAAGCATAACTGGAAAAGAGATATCTCTTTAGCTTATAAAGATATCTCTTTTTGAAAATCTAAAGAGATATCTCTCTAACTAAGAAAGATATTTATCTCTTTCAACCTTGTTAAAGGGATATTTCTCTAACTTTATGAGATATCTTTCTTGCTTAAAGAGATATCTTTCTAGCTTATATAAAGATATCTTTCTAAGTAAAAGAGATATTTCTCTTACAAAAAGAGATATCTCTTTTCTTTAAAGAGATATCTCTCTAAGGTATAAAGATATCTCTATAAGCTAAAGAGATATCTCTCTATGCTGAGAGATATCTCTCTTATTGAGAGAAAATTTTTATTTCACGAATAAATAGTAAAAGGGTTTGCCATTGTTTTGTCATAAAAGTGTACTTTTAAGGTATAGTGGGTCTTGCTACACGTTTTAGTAAACCAAAACATGCATACATGTATTTTATTGCAAACTTGTAAGATATGATTATCTTAAAAAAAAAAAGGAGTGAAGCCCCATTCATACTGAAAAATTTTGTTAAAGGTCTTAGAAATTGATCTTTTTTGTTCTTTTTAGTGTGTGTATGTTTTTTGAAAGGCAAATAATTTCAGTCTTTTAAAGATTTTTGTAAATTATAGGGAATTTACATTAAGTATACTTTAATGTTAGGTGAATATCAAAGAAAATTTGGATATACAATGTAATTGATATTTAACTTTTCACTTGAGTCTTCATGTTTGTCGCATTATAGTCACTTCGTCCGCCTTATCCCCCATCTTCTTTTCAGAAAAGTTAAGACTAGTGAGAGATTAATTCCTATTCTTGGATAATGTGAAAGTTAATTAACAAAATTTTTTTTTAATGGGTGAACTTAAAAAATGCGTGTACTTTATGTGCTCCTCTGATTTATAGAATTTGCATTTTGTATAGATAAGCAAAAAAATCGATCGATCGTCAGAATGATGGTCTTCCATAATTTGAGTTTACTCCCAATGTTTGTCTACAGCAATGAGATCAATAATCAATTATGGATTCCGCAATCAAAATATTTTTTTAAGCTTGGACAAACTAATAACCAGATAAATATCAAAATAATCAATGACTGAAAATAATGTTCATTACATAAACCTTATATGATAAAAGGAATTATTTATGACCAGAAAAACAATTCTTTTAAAAATAATTCTCATTGTCTAAAGTCTGAAAGTAATTTTTTAAAAAGGTATCCGGTGCATATTTTGCTTTAAAAAGTCTTTTAAAACACTTTTACTCAAAACTAGAGGTACTGTGAGCAATGAGCTCACTAAATATACCCCCTCCCCCCATGAATATAATGGCATGTATGTCCATGTTTTCCTGTGGGAAACCCAAAATATTTCGGATCAAAAAGTAAAATGGAGGTGCACAATGGCATTATGTAACTAAGGTACTGTGAGCAATAGCTCACTAAATATACCCCCCCCTCCCCTAATGTCGATGTGTTGCTTTATATTGTTTTACGGTAATGTGTAAAGAGGAATAACTCGTCCTATGAATGTTATCCAAATTTATTATGTGAGTCATAGTAAAAAAAAATGACAATGTCCATGTTTTCTTGGGAAACCTAAAAACCGTCAATAAAAAAGTAAAATAGGAGGTGACAATGGAATATGTAATAAAGATTCTGTGAAAGTTTCATTTAAATTACTCAGTAGTATAAGAGGAGTTGCGGATAAGAGAAAAAGCGTAACAGACGGACGGACGGACGGACGGACGTACAGACGGACGGACAGACAGACGGACGGACGGAAATCCCGATCACTATATACCCTCCCGCTTTTCAAGCGGGGGGTATAATAAAGATTCTGTGAAAGTTTCATCAAAATTTCATTCAGTGGTATGAGAGGAGTTGCGGATAAGAGATGGTTACCCCAAAGCCAGATGGACGGACAGACGGACGGACAACCATTAAACTATATACCCCCCGTTTTCAAGCGGGGGATAATAAAGAAAATGTTTATTATAAGCATTCCATAAATTAGAGTCTAATTGATTTTAAAAAGGAGCCGTTACATAAAGTTATCATTTTGACAAATAAAAAAATTATGAATTGATTATTTGATCACCAAAACAAGAAGATCTTGAAACTATACATATATTTGTTATAATTTGATGTATTAAATTGTAAAGTTCGCCTTGCAAATTTTAGAGATATCGATTTTTCTTTAAAGATTTTTTAAAGGGAAATAACTTAGATAATAACATTGAACTAGAGGTACTGTGAGCAATGAGCTCACTAAATGATTCCCCCCTCCCATAATTTTGAATAAAG